GGCGGCCCACAGCTGCTCACCCGTCCCCACTCCGCCTGCCGCAGGCAAAGAATGGGCAGCCTGTTCAGGAGCGATAAACCACAGGGAAGGGGAAAGCTGGGAGCCAGGGCTCTTGGTGGTGTCAGAAAGAGCAGAACAGAAACCACCTCATCTTCAACCAAAATCATCTTACTAATAATAATAATTAAAAAAAAAAAAAAACCAAAAAACCAGAAACCCTACAATTTAATTTAGAGATGACAAAAAAACTTTTTATCTTACCCCAAATTCTAATGGTAGTTATCTAACCATCCCTCCCCCCACTCATCCCAAAAAGCGAGGGCGTTAGTTTTAAATGGAAAATTCTCATACAAATGAAGAGAGGCAGTCTTACACTGGAGGGAAAAGAAAGGACAAGGCAAATACCCTCAGTTTTCCACCACAAACCTTTCTGGGTTGATACCTCCCCATGTGACATCCCATTGTTTTAGCCAAAGTATTGGCTGAATTTGACCCAGAACATGAATTCCTCCAAAATTCCCTTCTCCACCAACCGTTCTCCTCCTTGGAAGCCAGCTCCAGCCCACCCCACAGACCCAGTGGGCAGGAGCAGGAGGTCCCAGATACCATCTTATCACCTGAGAAATGTTACGTCACCTAGTCCTACACATGGGTCAGGGCAAGCTACGCGACAGAAGCAAGAAATGAGGTTGCATCCCCCAGTTCCACCACCTGCACAGGACCGTTAGGCATGCTTGTCCTGAGGTTGCTGTTGCTTGCAGGGTTTTGGTGGCCTTTTCTGCACTGCACCCCTCACCAACAAGCTGCTTGCACCGTGGAGCCTGTAGGGCTGCAGCATAGCCTGGCAGAGCTTTGCCAGCGCATGCAATGGTGCCACGCTTTCACCCTTGCATGTGTCCCTGTGGCTCTGCCACTCATTTCTCCTCCAGAAGGCAACTGGTCTGCAAAACCCCAAAATGCCCACTGAGTACAAGAAAACCTCCTGCCTAAGAAAATAAACATGTTCTGAGCTACCCACAGCAAAGCAAATATGGGCACAGTTGGGCCCTAGCACTGCTTTGCTCCTTAAAAATGTGTCATTTCAGTCAAACCCCTCCCGACACATCCGGCCACCATTAGATAGAGGAGAGAGACTGCTACTGTCTTCCTTCTGCACACAGCACAACCGGCTGTTGGGCCAGGGAGCCACGGTCTTTACCTCTGTATTGTACTTGTCATTCCATGGCCCAAATGGAAATCACACTGCTTCCGCAGCGGGAGGGCTTGGGAACACCGTCCCCCAGGAAGGTGCAGTGCTCGGGGTACCAAGCCACCCATGCCAGGTGTCATTTGACAGCACCAAAGATAACAGAAGGGAA